ACACGGTGTTCACACACACACACACACGGTGTTCACACACACACACGGTGTTCACACACACACACACGGTGTTCACTCACACACACACACGGTGTTCACACACACACACACACGGTGTTCACACACACACACATGGTGTTCACACACACACACACGGTGTTCACACACACACACGGTGTTCACACACACACACAGTGTTCACACACACGGTGTTCACACACACACACGGTGTTCACACACACACACGGTGTTCACACACACACACGGTGTTCACACACACACACACGGTGTTCACACACACACGGTGTTCACTCACACACACACACACGGTGTTCACACACACACACTCACACACACTCACTCACACGGTGTTCACTCACACACACACACGGTGTTCACACACACACACACTCACACACACACGGTGTTCACACACACACACACACACTCGCACACACACACACGGTGTTCACACACACACACACACACACTCGCGCACACACACACACGGTGTTCACACACACACTCATGGTGTTCACACAACACACACGGTGTTCACCACACACACACACGGTGTTCACACACACACACACCGGTGTTCACATCACTCAACAACACACCACGGTGTTCCTCACACACACACGGTGTTTCACAACACACACACCGGTGTTCACACACACACACAGGTGTTCACACACACACACACACGGTGTTCACACACACACACACACCAGGTGTTCACACACACACACACGGTGTTCACACACACACACACTGTGTTCACACACACACACGGTGTTCACACACACACACGGTGTTTCACACACACCACACACGGTGTTCACACACACACACACCGGTGTTCACCACACTCACACACACCCACCGGTGTTCACTACACACACACACGGTGTTCACACACCACACACACGGTGTCACACACACACACGGTGTTCACACACACACACACACGGTGTTTCACACACACCACACGGTGTTCACACACACACACAGGTGTTCACCACACACGGTGTTCACACACACACACCACGGTGTTCACACACACACACACGGTGTTCACACACACTCACACAGTGTTCACACACACACACACGGTGTTCACTCACACACACACGGTGTTCACACACACACACACACGGTGTTCACACACACACACGGTGTTCACACACACACACACACGGTGTTCACACACACACACGGTGTTCACACACACACACGGTGTTCACACACACACGGTGTTCACACACACACGGTGTTCACACACACACGGTGTTCACACACACACGGTGTTCACACACACACACACACGGTGTTCACACACACACACGGTGTTCACACACACACACACGGTGTTCACTCACACACACACACGGTGTTCACACACACACACACACGGTGTTCACACACACACATGGTGTTCACACACACACACACGGTGTTCACACACACACACGGTGTTCACACACACACACAGTGTTCACACACACGGTGTTCACACACACACACGGTGTTCACACACACACACACGGTGTTCACACACACACACGGTGTTCACACACACACACACGGTGTTCACACACACACGGTGTTCACTCACACACACACACACGGTGTTCACACACACACACTCACACACACACTCACTCACACGGTGTTCACTCACACACACACACGGTGTTCACACACACACACACTCACACACACACGGTGTTCACACACACACACACACACTCGCACACACACACACGGTGTTCACACACACACACACACACTCGCGCACACACACACGGTGTTCACACACACACTCACGGTGTTCACACTCACACGGTGTTCACACACTCACACACACACGGTGTTCACACACACACACAGTGTTCACACACACACACTCACACACGGTGTTCACACACACACACTCACACACGGTGTTCACACACACACACGGTGTTCACTCGGTTCACTCGCTCCCACGCGGTGTTGAGGTTGCGTGTTGCTGGTTGCGTGTTGCTGGTTGCGTGAAGGTGTTCAGGTTGTGTACTAGTTGCTAGTTGCGTGTTGCTGGTTGCGTGTTGCTAGTTGCTGGTTGCGTGTTGCTGGTTGCTAGTTGCTGGTTGCGTGTTGCTAGTTGCGTGTTGCTGGTTGCGTGTTGCTGGTTGCGTGTTGCTAGTTGCGTGTTGCTAGTTGCTGGTTGCGTGTTGCTGGTTGCGTGTTGCTGGTTGCGTGTTGCTGGTTGCGTGTTGCTGGTTGCTAGTTGCTGGTTGCTAGTTGCTGGTTGCGTGTTGCTAGTTGCGTGTTGCTGGTTGCGTGTTGCTGGTTGCTAGTTGCGTGTTGCTGGTTGCGTGTTGCTGATTGCGTGTTGCTGGTTGCGTGTTGCTAGTTGCGTGTTGCTGGTTGCGTGTTGCTGGTTGCGTGTTGCTAGTTGCGTGTTGCTAGTTGCTAGTTGCGTGTTACTGGTTGCTGGTTGCGTGTTGCTGGTTGCTAGTTGCGTGTTGCTAGTTGCGTGTTGCTAGTTGCGTGTTGCTGGTTGCGTGTTGCTGGTTGCTGGTTGCTAGTTGCGTGTTGCTGGTTGCGTGTTGCTGGTTGCTAGTTGCGTGTTGCTGGTTGCGTGTTGCTAGTTGCGTGTTGCTAGTTGCGTGTTGCTGGTTGCGTGTTGCTGGTTGCTAGTTGCGTGTTGCTGGTTGCGTGTTGCTGGTTGCTAGTTGCTGGTTGCTAGTTGCGTGTTGCTAGTTGCGTGTTGCTGGTTGCGTGTTGCTGGTTGCTGGTTGCTAGTTGCGTGTTGCTGGTTGCGTGTTGCTGGTTGCTAGTTGCGTGTTGCTGGTTGCGTGTTGCTGGTTGCGTGTTGCTGGTTGCGTGTTGCTGGTTGCGTGTTGCTAGTTGCGTGTTGCTAGTTGCGTGTTGCTGGTTGCGTGTTGCTGGTTGCGTGTTGCTGGTTGCGTGTTGCTAGTTGCTGGTTGCGTGTTGCTGGTTGCGTGTTGCTGGTTGCGTGTTGCTGGTTGCGTGTTGCTGGTTGCTAGTTGCGTGTTGCTGGTTGCTGGTTGCGTGTTGCTGGTTGCTAGTTGCGTGTTGCTGGTTGCGTGTTGCTGGTTGCGTGTTGCTGGTTGCGTGTTGCTGGTTGCGTGTTGCTAGTTGCGTGTTGCTGGTTGCGTGTTGCTGGTTGCGTGTTGCTGGTTGCGTGTTGCTGGTTGCGTGTTGCTGGTTGCGTGTTGCTAGTTGCTGGTTGCTAGTTGCTGGTTGCGTGTTGCTGGTTGCGTGTTGCTGGTTGCGTGTTGCTGGTTGCGTGAAGGTGTTCAGGTTGTGTGCTGGTTGCTGGTTGCGTGAAGGTGTTCAGGTTGTGTACTAGTTGTTGTGTACTAGTTGCTAGTTGCTGGTTACATGTTGCTGGTTGCGTGAAGGTGTTCAGGTTGTGTACTAGTTGCTAGTTGTTGTGTACTAGTTGTTGTGTACTAGTTGTTGTGTACTAGTTGTTGTGTACTGGTTGCTGGTTGCGTGAAGGTGTTCAGGTTGTGTACTAGTTGTTGTGTACTAGTTGTTGTGTATTAGTTGTTGTGTACTAGTTGCTGGTTGCGTGAAGGTGTTCAGGTTGTGTACTAGTTGTGTATTAGTTGTGTACTAGTTGCTGGCTGTGTACTAGTTGTTGTGTACTAGTTGCTAGTTGCTGGTTGCGTGTTGCTGGTTGCGTGAAGGTGTTCAGGTTTTGCCGCTCCAAGTGCCACAAGGGCTTCAAGAGGAAGCGAAATCCCCGCCGGGTGCGTTGGACAAAGTCGTTCAGGCGGGCTGCCGGCAAGGAGCTCACCCTGGTAACCCACACGCAACTCACACGCAACTCACACGCAACTCACACACGCAACTCACACGCAACCCACACGCAACTCACACGCAACTCACACGCAACCCACTCGCAACTCACACGCAACTCACACGCAACTCACCCTGGTAACCCACACGCAACTCACACGCAACCCACACGCAACCCGCACGCAACTCGCACGCAACCCGCACGCAACCCGCACGCAACCCGCACGCAACTCGCACGCAACTCGCACGCAACCCACACGCAACCCGCACGCAACCCGCACGCAACTCACACGCAACTCACACGCAACTCACACGCAACCCACACGCAACTCACACGCAACCCACACGCAACCCACACGCAACCCACACGCAACTCACACGCAACCCACACGCAACCCACACGCAACTCACACGCAACTCACACGCAACCCACACGCAACTCACGCAATCCACACGCAACCCACACGCAACCCACACGCAACCCACACGCAACCCACACGCAACCCACACGCAACTCACACGCAACTCACACGCAACTCACACGCAACCCACACGCAACCCACACGCAACCCACACGCAACCCACACGCAACCCACACGCAACTCACACGCAACCCACACGCAACCCACACGCAACTCACACGCAAACTCACACGCAACTCACACGCAACCCACACGCAACCCACACGCAACCCACACGCAACCCACACGCAACTCACACGCAACCCACACGCAACCCACACGCAACCCACACGCAACTCACACACGCAACTCACACACGCAACTCACACGCAACTCACGCAACTCACACGCAACTCACACGCAACCCACACGCAACCCACACGCAACTCACACGCAACCCACACGCAACTGGCACGCAACCCACACGCAACCCACACGCAACCCACTCGCAACTCACACGCAACTCACACGCAACTCACACGCAACTCACACGCAACTCACACGCAACTCACACGCAACCCACACGCAACCCACACGCAACTCACACGCAACCCACACGCAACTCACACGCAACTCACACGCAACCCACACGCAACCCACACGCAACCCACACGCAACCCACACGCAACCCACACGCAACTCACACGCAACCCACACGCAACCCACACGCAACTCACACGCAACTCACACGCAACCCACACGCAACTCACGCAATCCACACGCAACCCACACGCAACCCACACGCAACCACACGCAACTCACACGCAACCCACACGCAACTCACACGCAACTCACACGCAACTCACACGCAACCCACACGCAACCCACACGCAACCCACACGCAACCCACACGCAACTCACACGCAACCCACACGCAACCCACACGCAACTCACACGCAACTCACACGCAACCCACACGCAACTCACACGCAACCCACACGCAACCCACACGCAACCCACACGCAACCCACACGCAACTCACACGCAACTCACACGCAACCCACACGCAACCCACACGCAACCCACACGCAACTCACACACGCAACTCACACACGCAACTCACACGCAACTCACGCAACTCACACGCAACTCACACGCAACCCACACGCAACCCACACGCAACTCACACGCAACTCACACGCAACCCACACGCAACTCACACGCAACTCACACGCAACTCACACGCAACTCACACGCAACCCACACGCAACTCACACGCAACCCACACGCAACTCACACGCAACTCACACGCAACCCACACGCAACTCACACGCAATCCACACGCAACTCACACGCAACTCACACGCAACCCACACGCAACTCACGCAATCCACACGCAACCCACACGCAACTCACACGCAACTCACACGCAACCCACACGCAACTCACACGCAATCCACACGCAACCCACACGCAACTCACACGCAACTCACACGCAACTCACACGCAACCCACACGCAACCCACACGCAACCCACACACGCAACCCACACGCAACTCGCTCGCAACTCGCACGCAACTCGCACGCAACTCGCACGCAACTCACACGCAACTCACACGCAACCCACACGCAACTCACACACCCAACTCACACGCAACCCACACGCAACTCACACGCAACCCACACGCAACTCACACGCAACTCACACGTAACCCGCACGCAACTCACACGCAACTCGCACGCAACCCGCACGCAACCTGCACGCAACTCACACACAACCCACACGCAACCCACACGCAACTCACACGCAACTCACACGCAACTCACACGCAACCCACACGCAACCCACACACGCAGCCTGCATGCAACCCACACGCAACACACACGCAACACACACGCAACTCACACGCAACTCACACGCAACTCACACGCAACCCACACGCAACTCACACGCAACTCACACGCAACCCACACGCAACCCACACGCAACCCACACGCAACCCACACGCAACCCACACGCAACCCACACGCAACCCACTCGCAACTCACACGCAACTCACACGCAACTCACACGCAACCCACACGCAACTCACACGCAACCCACACGCAACTCACACGCAACTCACACGCAACTCACACGCAACTCACACACGCAACCCACACGCAACCCACACACGCAGCCTGCATGCAACTCACACGCAACCCACACGCAACACACACGCAACACACACGCAACTCACACGCAACTCACACGCAACTCACACGCAACCCACACGCAACTCACACGCAACTCACACGCAACTCACACGCAACCCACACGCAACCCACACGCAACTCACACGCAACTCACACGCAACTCACACGCAACCCACACGCAACCCACACGCAACCCACACGCAACCCACACGCAACCCACTCGCAACTCACACGCAACTCACACGCAACTCACACGCAACCCACACGCAACTCACACGCAACCCACACGCAACTCACACGCAACTCACACGCAACTCACACGCAACTCACACACGCAACCCACACGCAACCCACACACGCAACCCACACACGCAACTGCACCACCACCACTACACCACCACCACCACTACACCACCACTACACCACCACCACCACCACTGCACCACTGCACCACCACCACCACTAAACCACCACCACTACACCACCACCACACCACCACCACCACTACCACCACCACCACACCACCACCACCACTACACCACCACCACTACACCACCACCACTACACCACCACCACTACACCACCACCACTACACCACCACCACTACACCACCACCACTACACCACCACCACTACACCACCACCACTACACCACCACCACTACACCACCACCACTACTACACCACCACCACTACACCACCACCACCACTACACCACCACCACTACACCACCACCACTACACCACCACCACTACACCACCACCACTACACCACCACCACTACACCACCACCACTACACCACCACCACTACACCACCACTACTACACCACCACCACTACACCACTACACCACCACCACTACACCACCACCACTACACCACCACCACTACACCACCACCACTACACCACCACCACTACACCACCACCACTACACCACCACCACTACACCACCACCACTACACCACCACAACTATAGCATTGATTTTGTCGTTGATGTTAATGATGTTGTTGATGTTAATGTTGTTGTTGATGTTGTTGTTAGTAATGATGATGTTGTTGTTGTTCAGGACAATTGCTTTGAGTTTGAGAAGCGCAGGAACGTTCCAGTCAAGTATGACCGGGAACTCTGGGAGAAGACAGGTTAGTGGTGCCACAACAACCACCACATTAACAACATTCAAAACATTCACATTAACAACATTCACAACAACCACCACATTAACATTAACAACATTCACATTAACAACCACAACATTCACATTAACAACCACAACATTCACAACAACATTCACAACAACCATCACAACAACCATCACAACAACCACAACATTCACAACATTCACAACAACATTCACAACAACATTCACAACAACCACAACATTCACAACAACCACAACAACATTCACAACAACCATCACAACAACCACAACATTCACAACAACATTCACAACAACCATCACAACAACCACAACATTCACAACAACATTCACAACAAAATTCACAACAACCACAACATTCACAACAACATTCACAACCATCACAACAACATTCACAACAACCATCACAACAACCACAACATTCACAACCATCACAACAACATTCACAACAACCACAACATTCACAACAACATTCACAACAACATTCACAACAACCATCACAACAACATTCACAACAACATTCACAACCATCACATTAACAACCACAACATTCACAACAACATTCACCACAACATTCACAGCAACATTCACAACAACCACAACATTCACAACAACATTCACAACAACCATCACAACAACCACAACATTCACAACCACAACAACATGAACAACCACAACATTCACAACAACCACCACATTCACAACCACCACCACATTCACAACCACCACCACATTCACAACCACCACCACATTCACAACCACCACCACATTCACAACCACCACAACATTCACAACCACCACAACATTCACAACATTCACAACCACCACAACATTCACAACCACCACATTCACAACCACCACATTCACAACCACCACCACATTCACAACCACCATATTAACAACCACCACATTCACAACCACCACATTCACAACCACCACATTCACAACCACCACATTCACAACCACCACATTCATAACCACAACCACCATCATCACATTCACAACCACCACATTCACAACCACCACATTCACAACCACCACATTCACAACGACATTCACAACATTCACCACCACCCCCATCAACACCGCCACCATCACCACCACCCCCACCATCACCACCACCACCCCTACCATCAACACCACCACCGCCACCATCACCACCCCCATCATCACCACCACCACTACCCCCATCACCACCATCACCACCATCACCCCCATCACCACCATCATCACGTGTGCTGTGCTGTGTTGCAGTTGAGGCGATGAAACGCGTTGTGGAGATCAAGAGCAGGCGACAGGCACAGTTCATCAAGAACCGGTAACTACCGCCACCACTACCACTACCACCACAAATACCGTCACCATTACTACCACCACTACCACCACAAATACCACCACCACAACTACCACCACCACAAATACCGTCACCATTACTACCACCACAACTACCACCACCACCACCACAAATACCGTCACCATTACTACCACCACTACCACCACAAATACCACCACCACAACTAACACCACCACAAATACCGTCACCATTACTACCACCACAAATACCACCACCACAACTACCACCACCACAAATACCGTCACCATTACTACCACAACTACCACCACCACAACTACCGCCACAACTAACACCACCACATACCGTCACCATTACTACCACCACAAATACCGCCACAACTACCACCACAACTACCACCACTACTATGGGCAGTGTTGAGTCTATGGGCAGTGTTGAGTCTATGGGTAGTGTTGAGTCTATGGTGCAGTGCTGAGTCTATGGTGTAGTGTTGAGTCTATGGTGTAGTGTTGAGTCTATGGTGCAGTGCTGAGTCTATGGTGTAGTGTTGAGTCTATGGTGCAGTGTTGAGTCTATGGTGCAGTGTTGAGTCTATGGGCAGTGTTGATTCTATAGGCAGTGTTGAGTCTATGTGCAGTGTTGAGTCTATGGGCAGTGTTGAGTCTATGGGCAGTGTTGAGTCTATGGTGTAGTGTTGAGTCTATGGTGCAGTGCTGAGTCTATGGGCAGTGCTGAGTCTATGGTGCAGTGTTGAGTCTATGGTGCAGTGTTGAGTCTAAGGTGCAGTGCTGAGTCTATGGGCAGTGTTGAGTCTATGGTGCAGTGTTGAGTCTATGGTGCAGTGTTGAGTCTATGGTGCAGTGTTGAGTCTATGGTGCAGTGTTGAGTCTATGGGCAGTGTTGATTCTATAGGCAGTGTTGAGTCTATGTGCAGTGTTGAGTCTATGGGCAGTGCTGAGTCTATGGGCAGTGTTGAGTCTATGGGCAGTGTTGAGTCTATGGTGCAGTGTTGAGTCTATGGTGCAGTGTTGAGTCTATCGTGCAGTGTTGAGTCTATGGTGCAGTGTTGAGTCTATGATGCAGTGTTGAGTCTATGTGCAGTGGTGAGTCTATGGGTAGTGTTGAGTCTATGGGTAGTGTTGAGTCTATGGGTAGTGTTGAGTCTATGGGTAGTGTTGAGTCTATGGGTAGTGTTGAGTCTATGGGCAGTGTTGAGTCTATGGGTAGTGTTGAGTCTATGGGTAGTGTTGAGTCTATGGGTAGTGTTGAGTCTATGGGCAGTGTTGAGTCTATGGGTAGTGTTGAGTCTATGGGCAGTGTTGAGTCTATGGGCAGTGTTGAGTCTATGGGCAGTGTTGAGTCTATGGGCAGTGTTGAGTCTATGGTGCAGTGCTGAGTCTATGGTGTAGTGTTGAGTCTATGGTGCAATGCTGAGTCTATGGGCAGTGCTGAGTCTATGGTACAGTGTTGAGTCTATGGTGCAGTGTTGAGTCTAAGGTGCAGTGTTGAGTCTAAGGTGCAGTGTTGAGTCTAAGGTGCAGTGTTGAGTCTATGGTACAGTGTTGAGTCTATGGTGCAGTGTTGAGTCTAAGGTGCAGTGTTGAGTCTAAGGTGCAGTGCTGAGTCTATGAGCAGTGTTGAGTCTATGGTGCAGTGTTGAGTCTATGGTGCAGTGTTGAGTCTATGGTGCAGTGTTGAGTCTATGGGCAGTGTTGATTCTATAGGCAGTGTTGAGTCTATGTGCAGTGTTGAGTCTATGTGCAGTGTTGAGTCTATGTGCAGTGTTGAGTCTATGGGCAGTGCTGAGTCTATGGGCAGTGTTGAGTCTATGGGCAGTGTTGAGTCTATGGTGCAGTGTTGAGTCTATGGTGCAGTGTTGAGTCTATCGTGCAGTGTTGAGTCTATGGGCAGTGTTGAGTCTATGGGCAGTGTTGAGTCTATGGGCAGTGTTGAGTCTATGGGCAGTGTTGAGTCTATGGGCAGTGTTGAGTCTATGGTGCAGTGTTGAGTCTATCGTGCAGTGTTGAGTCTATGGTGCAGTGTTGAGTCTATGATGCAGTGTTGAGTCTATGTGCAGTGGTGAGTCTATGGTGCAGTGTTGAGTCTATGGGCAGTGTTGAGTCTTTGGGTAGTGATGAGTCTATGGGCAGTGTTGAGTCTATGGGCAGTGTTGAGTCTATGGTACAGTGTTGAGTCTATGGTGCAGTGTTGAGTCTATGGTGCAGTGTTGAGTCTATGGGCTGTGTTGAGTCTATGGTACAGTGTTGAGTCTATGGTGCAGTGTTGAGTCTATGGTGCAGTGTTGAGTCTATGGTGCAGTGTTGAGTCTATGGGCAGTGTTGAGTCTATGGGCAGTGCTGAGTCGATGGTGCAGTGTTGAGTCGATGGTGCAGTGTTGAGTCTATGGGCAGTGTTGAGTCTATGGTGCAGTGCTGAGTCTATGGGCAGTGCTGAGTCTATGGGCAGTGTTGAGTCTATGGGCAGTGTTGAGTCTATGGTGTAGTGTTGAGTCTATGGGCTGTTGTTGGTGGTGGCTGTTGTTGATGCTGGTGGTTGTTGTTGTTTGATGCTGGTGGTTGTTGTTGTTGATGGTGGTGGTTGTTGTTGTTGATAGTGGCTGTTGTTGATGCTGGTGGTTGTTGTTGATGCTGGTGGTTGTTGTTGATGCTGGTGGTTGTTGTTGTTGGTGGTGGTTGTTGTTGATGGTGGCTGTTGATGGTGGCTGTTGTTGTTGTTGATGATAGCTGTTGTTGTTGATGGTGGTTGTTGTTGGTAGCTGTTGTTGTTGATGCTGGTGGTTGTTGTTGTTGTTGATGGTGGCTGTTGATGGTGGCTGTTGTTGTTGATGCTGGTGGCTGTTGTTGTTGATGGTGGCTTGTTGATGCTGGTGGCTGTTGTTGATGCTGGTGGCTGTTGTTGATGCTGGTGGCTGTTGTTGTTGATGGTGGTTGTTGTTGATGATGATGGTTGTTGTTGTTGTTGATGGTGGTGGTTGTTGTTGATGGTGGTGGTTGTTGTTGATGGTGGCTGTTGTTGATGCTGGTGGCTGTTGTTGATGCTGGTGGCTGTTGTTGATGGTGGTTGTTGTTGTTGATTGTGGTTGTTGTTGATGGTGGTGGTTGTTGTTGATGGTGGTGGTTGTTGTTGATGGTGGTTGTTGTTGTTGATGGTGGCTGTTGTTGTTGATGGTGGCTGTTGTTGTTGATGGTGGCTGTTGTTGTTGATGGTGGCTGTTGTTGTTTATGGTGGCTGTTGTTGATGATGGTTGTTGATGGTGGCTGTTGTTGATGCTGGTGGTTGTTGTTGATGCTGGTGGCTGTTGTTGATGCTGGTGGCTGTTGTTGATGGTGGCTGTTGTTGTTGTTGATGGTGGCTGTTGTTGTTGTGGATGGTTGTTGTTGTTGATGGTGGCTGTTATTGTTGTTGATGGCTGTTGTTGATGGTGGCTGTTGTTGATGGTTGTTGTTGTTGATTGTTGTTGTTGATGGTGGCTGTTGTTATTGTTGTTGATGGTGGCTGTTGTTGTTGTTGTTGATGGTTGTTGTTGATGGTTGTTGTTGTTGATGGTTGTTGTTATTGTTGTTGATGGTTGTTGTTGTTGTTGTTGATGTCCAGGCTCTCGAAGGGCAAGGAACTGCGGGCCAAGGATGATCTTCGTCTGGTCCAGAAAGACATCCATCTCATTCAAGCACCTCACGCAGGTAGAGTCACCCACAGGGGTAGTCACCCAAAGGGGTAGTCACCCACAGGTAGAGTCACCCACAGGTAGAGTCACCCACAGGTAGAGTCACCCACAGGGGTAGTCACCCACAGGTAGAGTCACCCACAGGGGGAGTCACCCACAGGTAGAGTCACCCACAGGTAGAGTCACCCACAGGTAGAGTCACCCACAGGGGTAGTCACCCACAGGTAGAGTCACCCACAGGGGGAGTCACCCACAGGGGGAGTCACCCACAGGTAGAGTCACCCACAGGTAGAGTCACCCACAGGTAGAGTCACCCACAGGTAGAGTCACCCACAGGTAGAGTCACCCACAGGTAGAGTCACCCACAGGTAGAGTCACCCACAGGGGTAGTCACCCACAGGGGTAGTCACCCACAGGTAGAGTCACCCACAGGTAGAGTCACCCACAGGGGTAGTCACCCACAGGTAGAGTCACCCACAGGTAGAGTCACCCACAGGGGTAGTCACCCACAGGTAGAGTCACCCACAGGTAGAGTCACCCACAGGGGTAGTCACCCACAGGGGTAGTCACCCACAGGGATAGTCACCCACGGGTAGAGTCACCCACGGGTAGAGTCACCCACAGGTAGAGTCACCCACAGGTAGAGTCACCCACAGGGATAGTCACCCACAGGGGTAGTCACCCACAGGTAGAGTCACCCACAGGTAGTCACCCACAGGTAGAGTCACCCACAGGTAGAGTCACCCACAGGTAGAGTCACCCACAGGTAGAGTCACCCACAGGGGTAGTCACCCACAGGGGTAGTCACCCACAGGTAGAGTCACCCACAGGGGTAGTCACCCACAGGTAGAGTCACCCACAGGTAGAGTCACCCACAGGGGTAGTCACCCACAGGTAGAGTCACCCACAGGGGTAGTCACCCACAGGGGTAGTCACCCACAGGTAGAGTCACCCACAGGTAGAGTCACCCACAGGTAGAGTCACCCACAGGGGTAGTCACCCACAGGTAGAGTCACCCACAGGTAGAGTCACCCACAGGGGTAGTCACCCACAGGTAGAGTCACCCACAGGGGTAGTCACCCACAGGGGTAGTCACCCACAGGGGTAGTCACCCACAGGTAGAGTCACCCACAGGTAGAGTCACCCACAGGGGTAGTCACCCACAGGGGTAGTCACCCACAGGTAGAGTCACCCACAGGTAGAGTCACCCACAGGTAGAGTCACCCACAGGTAGAGTCACCCACAGGTAGAGTCACCCACAGGTAGAGTCACCCACAGGGGTAGTCACCCACAGGTAGAGTCACCCACAGGTAGAGTCACCCACAGGTAGAGTCACCCACAGGTAGAGTCACCCACAGGTAGAGTCACCCACAGGGGTAGTCACCCACAGGTTTAGTCACCCACAGGGGTAGTCACCCACAGGGGTAGTCACCCACAGGTAGAGTCACCCACAGGGGTAGTCACCCACAGGGGTAGTCACCCGCAGGTAGAGTCACCCGCAGGTAGAGTCACCCGCAGGTAGAGTCACCCACAGTCCTCAACAAAATTAACCCCGTGTGTCTCCCCCCGTGTCTCTCCCCCCGTGTCTCTCCCCCCGTGTCTCTCTCCCCGTGTCTCTCCCCCCGTGTCTCTCCTCCCGTGTCTCTCCCCCCGTGTCTCTCTCCCCGTGTCTCTCTCCCCCGTGTCTCTCTCCCCGTGTCTCTCTCCCCCCGTGTCTCTCTCCCCGTGTCTCTCCCCCCGTGTCTCTCCTCCCGTGTCTCTCCCCCCGTGTCTCTCCCCCCGTGTCTCTCTCCCCCGTGTCTCTCTCCCCCCGTGTCTCTCTCCCCCCGTGTCTCTCTCCCCGTGTCTCTCCCCCCGTGTCTCTCCCCCCGTGTCTCTCTCCCCCGTGTCTCTCTCCCCCCGTGTCTCTCTCCCCCCGTGTCTCTCCCCCCGTGTCTCTCTCCCCCGTGTCTCTCTCCCCCCGTGTCTCTCTCCCCCCGTGTCTCTCTCCCCGTGTCTCTCCCCCCGTGTCTCTCCCCCCGTGTCTCTCCCCCCGTGTCTCTCTCCCCCGTGTCTCTCCCCCCGTGTCTCTCCCCCCGTGTCTCTCCCCCCCGTGTCTCTCCCCCCGTGTCTCTCCCCCCGTGTCTCTCTCCCCGTGTCTCTCTCTCTCTCCCCGTGTCTCTCTCTCCCCCCGTGTCTCTCCCCGTGTCTCTCCCCCCGTGTCTCTCTCCCCCGTGTCTCTCCCCCCGTGTCTCTCCCCCCGTGTCTCTCCCCCCGTGTCTCTCTCCCCCCGTGTCTCTCTCTCCCCCGTGTCTCTCCCCCCGTGTCTCTCCCCCCGTGTCTCTCTCCCCGTGTCTCTCTCCCCCCGTGTCTCTCCCCCCGTGTCTCTCCCCCCGTGTCTCTCCCCCCGTGTCTCTCACCCCGTGTCTCTCTCCCCGTGTCTCTCTCCCCCGTGTCTCTCCCCCGTGTCTCTCCCTACACACAGAGAAAGAGCTGCAGCTGGAGGCGAAATTGGAGGTTGCTGTTCGTGTGGCAGACACTCCGGTGGCAATGGAGGAGAACGGAGAGTGACCACCACAACAACAACAACAACCACCACAACAACTACCACAACAACTACCACAACAAAAACCACAGCAACTACCACAACAACAAATACCACAACAACAACCACTACAACTACAACAACAACAACCACCACAACAACAAATACCACAATAACAACTACCACAACAACAACAACAACCACCACAACAACTACCACAACAACAACAACCACAACAACAACCACCACACCAACTACCACTACAACCACCACTACAACTACCACAACAACTACCACTACAACCACCACTACAACCAACACTACAACTACCACAACAAAAACCACCACAACTACAACAACCACTACAACTACCACAACAACAAACACAACAACAACCACCTTAATAACTACCACAACAACCACAACAACAACCACAATAACTACCACACACACAACACCACACACACACTACACACACACCACCACCACACACACCACACACACCACACACACCACCACCATACACACCCCACACTCACACCCCACACACACCCCACACACACCCCACACACACCCCACACACACCCCACACACACACACCCCACACACACACACCCCACACACACACCCCACACACACACTCACACACACCCCACACCCCACACACACACACCCCACACACCCCACACACACACTCACACACACCACACACACACACCCCACACACACACAGCTCCACCCCGCTCACTCTTGTGTCTGTGTGTGCGTGAGTCCATGGCTCGCCCACTCTATGGAGGAAGTTGTTTTAGCTTGTCCTGACGAATAAACACAGAGCACTGTGTGTGGGGTGTGTGTGTCTGTGTGTGTGTGCCTGTGTGTGTGTCTGTGTGTGTGTCTGTGTGTGTGTGCCTGTGTGTGTGTGTCTGTGTGTGTGTGTGTCTGTGTGTGTGTGGTGGTCCCCCTCTTGAAGAAGGGGGACCGCACAGACTGTAACAACAACAGGGGCATCTCACTCCTCAGTGTGCCGGGAAAGGTCCTGGCAAGGATTATTCAGCATCGCCTTGCCAGGCACGCTGAGGAGAGGCTTGCGGAGCCCCAATGCGGTTTCAGGAAAGGGCGGTCCTGCACAGATGCCATATTTTCTGTCCGTCTGCTACAGCAGAGGTGTAGGGAATTCCAGCAAGACCTACATCTCTGCTTTATTAACCTGGTCAAGGCCTATGATACCATCAGTAGGCCCTGGGCTCTGGGTTGTTCTAAGTGCTTTTGGAGTACCTGACCCTCTGCTCACGATCATTAAGGACCTTCATGATGGTGAGCGGGCCCGGGTAAAACTACGTGGCCGGGAGTCAGAGCCATTCCCTGTACACCTTGGGGTGCGACAGGGATGTCCTCTGGCTCCCACATTATTTAACATCTATTTTGACCACGTAGTTCGTGAAGCCTTCAATAGCTGTACCGGGGGAATCTCCATATGGTACAGATATAATGGGAGGCTGATCGATGCCCGGGTGCGGTCAAGGGATGGCTCCCTATTGGTCAACCACGTTGTGTATGCTGATGATTTGGTAATAGCTGCTCAGTCAGAGGAGGAGTTGGAGACGCTGCTGCTGAGACTGGAGCGTGCCACTAAGAGGTGGGGCCTTACCATCAGCCCCACCAAAACTAAGCACCTGCCTGGGTATTTTGTACCATCGGACACTCCACCCCCACATCTCCCAATCGGTGATGGAGCAGTTGTGGAGAGAGTGGAGAGTTTCCCATACCTGGGCAGTGTGATTATGACCGGCTCCGGTTTAACAGCAGAGGTCTCACTCCGAATCAGTCGAGCGGCAATATCTTTTCATCGGTTGCGTAACGCTGTGTGGAAGCTACCTGGTCTGTCGCTCCGCACTAAACTTCAGGTCTTCTCGGCCACGGTCATTCCCTCCCTTCTCTACGCTTGCGAAACGTGGACTCCCCTAATGGAACATCTTTGCCGGTTAGAAACATTTAGGCTGGCCTGCCTACGATCCATCCTGGGTTTAACCAGACTGGATTGTGTGAGGAGCTCACAAATCCTTGAAAGATCTGGGCAAGGTCCCATCGGTGAGGTCCGGCGGGCAAGGCTGCGATGGCTGGGTCATGTAGCCCGCATGCCCAGCCAACACATGCCGAAACAGCTTTTGTTCGGCCGGATCGAGGGGGCTAAGCGGGCGCGGCACGGGCTAGAGAAGAGATGGAGTGATGTGGTACAGGAGGACGTGGAGCTGAGTGGACTTGCCGATGACTGGTACCAGCGGTGTCAAGATCGACCTCTGTGGAGGAGGCTCGTGAAGGATGCTACAGGGCAGTTGGAGGCAGTCGCCCTCCAACAACAACGGAGGGCGGAGGAGCGACGCTCACAACAACGAGCGGAGCGCCGGGTGGCTAAAGCACAGCGGGTTGGCACAGTAGGGGGCACAGGTGGTGCATCAGCCAGTCATCTCAGTCGACCCGTGGCACCTGGGTCTGCCCCGTGACCTGCCAGCGGGCGTTCCACACTCCACGTGGCCTCAGGGTGCACATAGCCTGGCACAAGCGTCGTGGTGACGTCACCGCCACTTAGTGGCGAATGGCGGTTGTTGTCTGTGTGGGGTGTGTAGTCTGTGTGTGTGTGGGTATCTGTATGGGGTGTGTGTGTGTGTGTCTGTGTGGGGTGTGTAGTCTGTGTGTCTGGGTGTCTGTGTGGGGTGTGTGAGTCTGTGTGTGTATGTCTGTGTGGGGTGTGTGTGTGTGTCTTGTGTGTGTATGTGTGTATCTGTGTGTATGTGTCTGTGTGGGGTGTGTGAGTCTATGTGTGTATGTGTGTGTGTGTATCTGTGTGTATGTGTCTGTGTGGGGTGTGTATGTCTGTGTGTATGTGTGTGTGTCTGACTGTGTCTGTGTGTGTGTAGTGGTAGTGTAGTAGTAGCGGGTCAGCGCTACGCCGCGCTACGAACCCGGACGCCCCGGTTTTCGATTCCCCCGCTCACGGCCAACACCACCGGTGACGATTATCTGAACCGGTCCCGGGCCTCCCCTAGGTCGACTCGGCCTCAAATGCGTACCCGTTGTCGTGGTGATGCGGTGCAGTGATCATCGCTAGCACCGGGGGAGAGACAAAGGCGGCCGGGCGTGGTGCTGACCCCCAGCAGAGTCGGCTGAGGCTACACGGGGGACATTCTTGCTCTCTGTGTGTGTCCCTTGCCCAAGCTGCTTCTCTTTGGACCTGGTAGGGGTGGGTGAACAGGCAATCCACAGGCTGTAGAGAAGTGATGAACCCGTGGGTGGGTGAGTGAGTGGGTGAGCGAGTGGGTGGGTGAGAGGGTGAGTGGGTGGGTGGGTGAGTGGGTGGGTGGGTGAGTGGGTGGGTGAGTGGGTGGGTGAGTGGGTGGGTGGGTGAGTGAGTGGGTGGGTGAGTGGGTGGGTGAGTGGGTGGGTGGGTGAGTGGGTGGGTGGGTGAGTGGGTGAGTGGGTGGGTGAGTGGGTGGGTGGGTGAGTGAGTGGGTGGGTGGGTGAGTGAGTGGGTGGGTGAGTGAGTGAGTGGGTGGGTGAGTGAGTGAGTGGGTGGGTGAGTGGGTGGGTGGGTGGGTGAGTGAGTGGGTGGGTGGGTGAGTGAGTGAGTGGGTGAGTGGGTGAGTGGGTGGGTGGGTGAGTGAGTGGGTGGGTGGGTGAGTGAGTGAGTGGGTGGGTGGGGTGGGTGGGTGGGTGGGGTGGGTGGGTGAGTGTATGGTTGGTTGAGTGGATGAGTGGATGGGTGAGTAAGTGAGTGGATGGTTGGGTGATTGGTTGGTTGAATGAGTGGATGAGTGGAAGGGTGAGTGTGGTTGGATGAGTGGATGGGTGAGTGTGTGATTGGTTGAGTGGATGGGTGGACGGGTGAGTAAATGAGTGGATGGGTGGGTGATTGGATGGGTGAGTAAGTGAGTGGATGGGTGAGTGAGTGGTTGGTTTAGTGGGTGAGTGGATGGGCGAGTGTGTGAGTGTGGTTGAGTGGATGAGTGAATGGGTGGATGGGTGAGTGAGTGGATGGGTGAGTGGATGGGTGAGTAAGTGAGTAGATGGGTGAGTGAGTGGATGGGTGAGTAAGTGAGTGGTTGGCTTCGTGGATGAGTGGGTGAGTGGATGGGTGAGTAAGTGATTGGATGGGTGAGTGAGTGGATGGGTGAGTGAGTGGTTGGTTTAGTGGATGAGTGGATGGGCGAGTGTGTGAGTGTGGTTGAGTGGATGAGTGAATGGGTGGATGAGTGGATGGGTGAGTGAGTGGATGGGTGAGTAAGTGAGTGGATGGGTGAGTAAGTGAGTGGATGGGTGGGTGAGTGAGTGGTTGGCTTAGTGGATGAGTGGGTGAGTGGATGGGCGAGTGTGTGAGTGTGGTTGAGTGGATGAGTGAATGGGTGGATGAGTGGATGGGTGAGTAAGTGAGTGGATGGGTGAGTGAGTGGATGGGTGAGTGAGTGGTTGGTTTAGTGGATGAGTGGATGGGCGAGTGTGTGAGTGTGATGGGTTGCAGCTGAATGTGATTCAGGAGGATGTGGAGCTGAGTGGACTTGCCGATGAGCGGTACCAGCAAGGTCGGAGGAGTCTCGTGAAGGATGCTTCTGGGCAGTGCCAGGCTAGGTGCACTCTGTGGCTACTGGAGGCAGTCGCTCAGCGGAGGGCAGAGAGGAGTGATGCCCACAACAACGAGCGGAGCGCCCGGCGTGTAAAGAGTCGGCACTTGTACGGGTAACAGGCGGTGCCTCATGCACCTAGCCTGGCACAGCAGTCAACCCATGGCACCTGCTACGTCTGTCACGTGACCTCATGCACCTAGCCTGGCACAGCAGTCAACCCATGGCACCTGCAGGGTCTGTCACGTGACCTCATGCACCTAGCCTGGCACAGCAGTACAAGCCATGGCACCTGCTGGGTCTGCCATGTGACCTCCTCATGCACCTAGCCTGGCACCTGCAGAGTGTGTCACGTGACCTCATGCACCTAGCCTGGCACAGCAGTACAAGCCATGGCACCTGCTGGGTCTGTCACGTGACCTCCTCATGCACCTAGCCTGGCACAGCAGCACAA